GTTATTTGCCACTGTCCATAATAATGAACTTCTGATTAGAGGGAAGGCAACCAATCAGCAGCATGTATGCCAACTCTTGGGCTGCTAGTGTCAACTAGTGTAAATTTACTGTTCTTTTTTACATTGTGTTACATTCCTAAACTATAATTACATAATTATATTCGTTAATGTTGAATAAGGTGTAAAATTACTGTTTGTACATTGTCACATTGTAATTTATAATTTTCATAACTGTTTCTACATTGTGCAAGTGTTATGTTTGTAACACCACATACTTTATTTTCCTGAAGTTGGTTCCAGAGACACTATTAGACCTCAAACCCACAATTCTCTGTTCATAGAACAAATGCTCGTGGAGTAGTATATTTTAACCATCTAGTCATGTCCCAAATTACAAATTTAAGTGTAAAAAAAACTATTTTCAATTAACTATAAATTAATATAGAATTAAAATTTGCCAAGACCAATAATTTTATTAAGGTAACATTGTACTTTCTATTATATAGAATATTATAGAAACATAGTCTATAATCAATTATATATAAATAGGCTGCAATTAAAATAGTCTTCATTAGACCTAAGAAAAAACATTCTTTGCAGTAACTAGACAAAGCCAAGAAAAAATGGCCCAGACCCTAAAAGTTTTACACCTTTCCTTCTAAACATGTTCAGAGAAAATAAGCAGTAAATTTATAAATTAGCAAACATTTTCATCCTGTTATTCTTGTGAGCATTTTTTGTAAAGAATCTGTCCACAATGCATAACTTTGATTGGAGTTAACCTGGAATTATGTCAGACATGAAGTATAACATCACTGCAAGTGTAATAAATTTATATTAACAGATAGTTGTTTTTATTCTATTATGATTATGCTACTTTTTGTTTATAACCAGTAACAGATAATTAAAATATGGGACAATGGATCTGCCTTTGGAGTTTTGCATTACAGTTAAGAGAATAAGCAAGCTCCAACAGTCAGATTCGATGGGTTTAATATTTGTAAGGTTCGTTTAAGCCATACTGCAGACTTACAGCTATATATACTCCATAATAGTAAATTTTGGTTTATTCTTTTAGGTTCTTAACCCTATAGGGTAATTTCACCTAATATAAAACAACTGCTTATGTGAATACAGTAATCTGAGGTTACATAAACAATATTTCAATGGAATTTATTGTGTATGTATGGTGAGAACAATAAGACTGTGCCAGTCTCGATGATAACCTGCTTCCATTATAACCGGCAGGTGGCAACAGGTTGACCCCAATCACACAGTGTCAGGCCTCAGGAGATCTCGACAAGACCATGTCAGTCTCTTTGATGACCCGAGTGAGAATTGCCATGTCCAATATCCAAGTAGCAGCCATGGTAGCAACGTTTTTCAATATTTAGCTACAAAGTAGGTATCAAGAGGTTTTAAGTAAAACTGCTGACAAACCTGGTGATTCTTATTAGAATTGAAAATTAAGTGTAATAAGTAGTGTGAAATTGTAAAGTGAATAAAAAAACTTGTAAATTCATATACACATGCTGAATGAATAAAAAAAGAATTATGTTTATCACCAGAGCATCTGTATTGTTGATCAGATTTGGAATATTCTTAATAGTGTATTGAAGAATAATTTTCTTTTCAACAATGTAAGATATTCAATTTATTGACAAATGAGGTAGGCCTTTGGCCAAAACTACTTGTGTTTCTTAAAAACTTTAAGGAGATGTTTTTATATACGAATAAAGTTTATTAACTTTATATAGAAAGTTTGAAAATGTCATGAAGTAATGTTTATTTTCATCAACAAAAATTCAGTTTTAGTAGAGTATTATTGTGAAAATTTGTAAGGAGAAACCCACAGAATGGAATGCTATTCACTTTTTCAGCACAGGCTCGGTCTCTAGGACCAAACTCGTACCCATTTTGTGCTAATTATAGTTTTCATGTTATAACTTCTAAATTAGTAAGCATATGTTCTCAAAATTTGGAATATTATCAGCAAATGTTACAAGGCTTTCATACACAAAATATCATATATTTTTTTATTAAGTCTTAAGGTTTGTTGAGCAATGTTTTTCTCATGCCATTTTTCTTTTCACATGTTGCCTATCCAACATGCAAAGTAATTTTCATTTTAAGATTAAAAATACTTTTATGTATCAGAAAAGTTTCAAATTTCACATGCAAAATCTTTATAACATCCAGGTAGTTATCAAATGTTTCTTAAGAAAAACTATCTTTTATTTGTTATTTTCACAAACGAATCTCTGTATGGATTCGATTGATTTGACTGATCTCATAACCACCATAAAAAATTACGAAATAAATATAAATTATGCCTTTTTCGTTCTAGAATGACTACAGATCATATCACAAAAACACAAATGTTTAGACTAAATAGCTTATATCTCATAACATTATACTTTTATTATATTGACCTTTCAGCCATGCCTGGCTAACAATACAGAAGTTACAATGAAGCAGCACAAGTGCACTCATGTTACCGTATCCAATAATATAAAACTGACCTTTAGTCTTTACAAAGTGACCTGTCTTGGCAGTGGACTAGTATTTTGTAAAATACAGTCACATTTCAATTATTATACATAATATGTATATATATTACTACTATTTATAAATAAGTTAGTAAACTTATTTTTCTAAAAAAAAGAACAGTAAATAATGAAGCAAAGCAAACAATTGTCTCTTCCAGTTACAAACTTTGTACTTGTTTGCTGCTTGTCATAGGTTGCTTAGCCTTATAAAATTTGCATGTGAAGGAAAAGTGAAACAAAATAATTTTTTTTAGGTTTATATATATATATATATATATTTGAAATAACCAAAAAATACATAAATTAC